GAATCAAGATTTTAATATTAATAATATAATATAAATTATATTATTTAAAATATTAATTTTATATATTTAATAATTAATTTTTTACTTTATTGAGAGTCATAATAATATTATAAGATTTGCAAGAGATCAAAAGTTGATCCATAAATTGGCAGTCATAAAGGTCAAATTTCTCCAGGAGTTTTAAGATTTTCGATTGAAGTAAATCTCTGATTGGGGCTCTGGGGTTTCGCCCCGCAGTAGACTTTGCTCTCGGGGATATTACTCATACAGTGCTCTTGGCGGAGGAGAAAGGTGGCCTTGGTGCTCGAAGAGGCTCTGCAGAGTTTTGGAGAAGAAGGCCGTTTTGGAGCTATGGGAAAGGACGGGGAGGGATATTTTGGCGGGATTAATTTATGGAAGAATTGAAGGAGTGGTGCGTTTTAGCCGTGCCACCTGCCCCACGAATACTTAAGTAGTTTGAAAGGATGATGCAGCAAATCAACGAGGTGCTGGATCAGGTGGTAAGCGGTTTATTTCAGTTTAAGTAAGATTTTGAGTATAAAACTTTATGTACGTAGTAGTCTTTGTTAAGAGACTCATCTATCATTTTCAGATGCGCGACACGGATCAATCTGAATTAATCAGATTGAAACCTCGGATATCGAACGAAAAATAAAAAAAAATGATGCAGCAAAATTTGACGTACAGCCGAAGCAGCCATCTTTGTAATCTTTGTAGAAAGCACAAGCTCCCACGTGATATATGCTGTCTACGATCATAGTCTCTGATCGCTAACGTTTAGAGCATGAAATCAAGCAATAGTAAAAAATTTAAACAGCTTAAATCACTCATATTCAAAAAAATCAGATTAAATCACTGTACCTAATTTTTTTAAAAAATAAAATTATAAATAATTTTAATATTCTATGAAAGAGAGGGGAAATTATGTTGAAAATTCACCATGAATTATTCTCGGTGAAAGGACAAGTGACAAGTCACTTTGTCCCGATCGTGCGAAATAAATCACTCAACGTAATTCTAAACGGAATCCCAACTAAATCCAGTCTCACTTTACCCTACAAAAATCTCCTGGATTCCAAAGGATCATCTTGTTTTTTCTTTTCACTCACGTTCATTAAAAAGGTAAAATTGCCAAGTTCACATTTAGACAGGTTTTTTTTAATAGAGGAATAAATAATTTTTTAAATTATAAATTAAGATAAAT